CTCTTTGCGACCCCATGGTCTGTAGCCTGCCAGGCTCTTCTGTCCACGGGATTTCCCAGGCAAGAATACTGGAGTGGGTTGCCATTTCATCCTCCAGGGGATGTTCCTGACCCAGGGATTGAAACCACATCTCCTGCATTGGCAGGCAGATTCTTTACCACGAGCGCCACCTGGGAAACTGGGAGCCAAAGAGAACGGGCTAAAGTGGTTGCAAATGTCTAACAGAGTTTTACGGGAGAGAGCTATGTATCAATTTTATCCTCCTAAAAGGCCCTGGCCTTTCCTCCTGCAAATGGTCACGTGAGCACCCAAGTCAGCAGGTAGGATAACAGAAGGTTGAGAACCCAGCCTGCCCACACCCTTCCAGGAAGACATCCCTGAGGAGCACACTGCTGACTGGTATCGCCCCACCACACGCTCGGGGCAGAGAAGGAGGAACTGAGTGGGTCTGAAACACCCTTATCTGGACACTGCCCAGAATGATTTGTGTATGTCAACACAGTGCTGTTTAGTTGGGGTTGGTTATTTTCCTCCTGGGAAGATTGCCCATAGGAACGTCACTGGGGGTAGTCTCATTAGAGTCAGGCAGCTGTGTCTGCCAGTTCAAACCCAGCAGCTGTTTAAAAAAACACTAAAGGAATCCTGGAGTATGGGCCTTCCCGAACGTGGGGGCAATCTTGAATTCAGATGGCAGAGATCAAAAAGCGACTGGTGTAAAACTGGCAGGCCAATAGGGTGTGACATTTTATACTCCTCTGTCCTTCACTGATTCATTCAATAATAAGAAAAGTCTACATCTATTGCTTATTATGTAGGAGGCACTGTTCTAAGCACTTTGCATGCACTTTGCTCTGGCAGCAAGAGCCAATGGTTAAAAATAAGAAGATACAAGGTGGGAAGACTGGAGCTGAAGAGACTTCCCCGATGGTAGGTCTGTGTTCCGTGGTGATAGCAGGGTGTTTGGTGAACAGCATCTCAAGGGCAGAGGGAAACTTTGAGGTGATTCTGGTGGGCTTTACCGTCCAAGGAAGCAACAGTAATTCAGGGAATGGGTGGAAATACCCAGGTTCCAAACAATCAGACTGTTTACACAGTTGGGCCCCTATCAATAGCTTGGAGTACGTGGAACAGAATTCAGTTATGCAGGGAAGAAAAGAGCTACGACAAACTTAGCAGAGATTTAGGGCTTCACTCAAGCGGAATGGAGTTAAGGGCAGGGTGCAGTCTCCATGAGATGTTGTGATGCTATGTGGGAAAACTGAGATGGAAACCCAGCCACACACACTGGGAAAAACATTTTGAGGAATAAAAGAAAGTTATGACTCAATGGGCACGTCGTTGTTTATTCCCATGAGACACTGCCGAGCCAGGCTCTAAGAGAGCAAGACTGGGACCATTTATTACGCTGACGATGCCGACCTGGCCAGAATGAGTTGAAGTCTGGGAAGGGAAACCAAATGTAGAATCCGGGTGATTCAAACAATTTTGGTAGACAGCTTCATGAGAAGATAAGAGTATAAATGAAGAGAGACAGCTTGAGTTTGAATCTTACTCTGCCACTTACCAGTTATGTATCTTTGAGCATGCGCCCTAACTTCTAATCCTCAAAATCCTTATGCAAAATATTCCTATGGGACTTCCCTGGTGGTCCAGGGGTGAAGAATCCCCTGCCAGTGCAGGGGACATGGGTTCAATTCCTGGTCCGGGAAGATTCTATATGCCTCAGGACAACTAAGCCCGTGTTCCACAACAAGAGAAGCCACTGCAATGAGAAGCCCATGCACCACAACGAGAGAGTGGACCCTGCTCACTGCAACCAGAGAAAGCCCAGGCGCAGCAATGAAGACCCAGTGCAGCCAAAAAAAAAAAAAAAAAGCAAGCTTCTATAAAAAAATATCCCTATGACTGTGACAACTGAATATACTGCTGAATATAAAAGTGCCAAGGACAGTTCTGACACACAGTAGGTGCTTAACAAATGATACTTTCTCTCCCTCCCTTACAGACCCCTGTTGAATATTATTAATATTTGGTTTCATTATTCCATTTCTCACTACTGATGATAATGTCTACCTCATTGATCTCAGTAAAAAAACTTCAAACCATGTTTACATATTAACTTTCCAGGCAGGACATGTCTATCCATTTGCCTCATATTAAAGTTTGTGATAGAAAAAAGGAAGTCATTCAGAATCACAAAGAAGCCTAGTGCTATCTTTGAACCACATTCTTTAAGGTCAGCAAAGAGCTGGCTCTTCAGAGATGAATAAAATGCACACCCACTGCTTGTCCAAATAGTCATCCAGTTTCTCTCTCTCTCTCTCTCTCTTTTTTTAATTCTCTCTCTTCCTGTCCCTCAGATGAGAATGATTTAATCTCCAAAGTATGCATGATGACACATACTATTTCCTCCTCCAAGAATGTGATGTTACAATGTGAGGCCCCATTCCAGAACTGGATTGAGAGTGAGAGGTCATATGTCCAGTCTCCATACAGGCATTCACTAGCTGAATTTCACATAGAGAGCATCTCTGTTTCACAGCCACAGAGAATATTGCTTATCTTGGCAGGCTCCTCACAAACGTAAGACACAGCACAGATAAGCAGTGCACGATGAATGAGTCAGAGAATTTCAACCAGGAAAGACCCAAACAAACAAAACCCCACCACTGACTACGACCCAGTGGCGAATGAAATAAATCACCTTTGTACCAGAGATGGCAGTATTTTGGTTGCTGTTAACCTTTATAGAAACAACATGTTACTATGAAATCATGATCACATGGTCATGTAATTGCTATGAAAATGATTCATCAATTAACCATCAGGTATTTATTTCAACTGTGTACAGCAGTATGTGAGTGCTTTAGGGTTTCTAAGTGAAGTCTAAATAAAACTAATGGACGTGGTTTCAAGGACAGACAGCCTAGCTTGAAAGAGAGAATCACCATCATGAAAAAAGAATACCCCCAAATAATTCCCAGTTGAGCACTGACTAGCCGAGTGTATACAGAGAAGGAGATCAAAGTGGCTGAAAGAGGTTTTGAAGTGTTCCAGGCCATCCTCCACGTGTCTGACGGAGCAGGATTTCTAGAAGACAAATCTGTGTTACTACCCCTGCCTAAAACCCTTTACTGACTGCCCAAGGCCCACAAAACAATTCCTGAATTTCTGAGTGAAGTGTATAAGTCTTTTCATTATTTGGTGCTTCTCAGTTTCATCTCTTGCCATTTCTCTTCTGCTGCAGATGCTCCCAACTGCAGGACATTCTATTAATAACACTGCCCTTTACACAATTTTCCCTCTTCTGGGAATATTTGCTGGGGTTCCTCTTCTAAAATCCCTTCTGTTGGGTTAACTTCTACTTTTCCTTTAAGAATGAACTCAAGCCTTACTTCTTTGCTGAGAAGCTTTCTTTCCCTGACACCCACACCTCCATGAGCATACTCACACCCATGCAGGATTAATGCGCCCTGCTGTAGGTTATGAAAACACCTAGGGACATATTGATTACATACAACACTCATCACACAGCATTGCAATTATTGATTGATTTAACGCCATTCCCCCACCTATTTCCCATTTTTTAGTGTCAACTTTGCGTGCGTGCTCAGTCACTCGGTCGCGTCCAACTCTTTGCGACCCATGGACTGTAGACTCCCAGGCTCCTCTGTCCATGGAATTATCCAGGCAAGAATACTGGAGTGGGTTGCCGTGCCCTCCTCCAGGGGATCTTCTCGACCCAGGGATCGACCCCAGGTCTCTTGTGTCTCCTGCATCGGCAGCCAAGTTCTTTACCACTAGCGCCACCTGGGAAGCCCTGAAATACACATAAGGATGATAAACTCCAAATTTAGGATAGTGATTACCTTTGGGGAAGGAGGAAAGCAAATAGAATTGGGTGCCAGGGCCAGGACTAGCGTGAGTAAGCAAGGCACCTAGCATGCAAAATATAAGGATAGATTAACTTCCAAGCTTGTGAAAGTGCAGGACACAAACCTGAGAGTGGGTACCTCCTGAAATTTAGTGCCCTCAGCACCTCCCTTTCTAATCCTAGTCTTGACCCTATTAAGGGACATACACAGAGACTTCAAACAGCTTTCTGCAGAGTTTTACTGCTTTAAGGAACAAAAACCAAAACTCTGTTGTGCTAGTATCTCTATAGAAAGAATTTATAGTTTCTTCGTCTGGATTTCACATGTTTAAGACTATAGCTATTATACTACGTTCTTGGATTGGAATCATTACAAAATGCAAATATTAGAGAGTTGGACACCCAACACAAGTGCTCTGAGGCCCTGGAATAATGATTGCTCATGAAAGATTATTTTCCTCTTAACAGAATAACCAACAGAAAGACATGTGACCAAGCTTGGCAGTGAGGCCCTCTCTCCCATTGTTTTGCATTTTGAGCAGAGAAATGCGAGGATGAGAGGGGAGAGACCAGTTTGGAAGTTATAGCAGGGGTAGGGCTCTGACTAGTTCCTGCTGACTTGGCTCCTGTCCTATTTCCAAACACAGTTCTCCAAATTCCCATCAGTTCTGCGAACCTCCCAATATCCTCCAATAATTTGCCAGTTTCTTTAGAGTCCATTCCTGTTGCTTGCAACCAAGGAGCCCTAACTAATACTTAACTCACACTGTCAAAGAATGAATTTATATAATTCCACATGTGTTAGTTGATCCTGAGGAATCAATTTCCTCACCACAATTTGATTTCCCATGTATGTTTGGTAGGAGTCTACAAAGACAAATGCCTATCTGCATGTTTTAAGTCCTATCTGTCAGGGCTACCTCCCTTGGCTGAATGAATCGCTGTGGAGTTATTAATGTCCAAGGGACATACCCCTGACTTCTTACTCTCTAGCTGTGGTTAAGCCTACGGCCCTTGAATAAAAAACTGCCCAGCTGGCCTATGACAACAGCCGCACTAAGAATGAGCGTCTCAAATCTAAGAAAACCCATAATTGCACCAACTGTGTCGCTTAGCGCTGTCTTACCTCCTCTGTCTTTAAAACTTCCCATATCCGAGCATGGTCTTCCACTAGCCAGTGCCCTGTGGTGGGAAGTCTGAGTTTAGACACCACATGTGCGGGCTCTCCCGAGGGCTTCTCCTCCATCTTGACAGAGGCGGGCAGGAGGCATGACGGATCTGTGTGGACGAATAAAGCGGGATGCAGGGTAAAACACTACATGACAGCAACAGCAACAAAGAGATGGCAGAGCAAGTTATCACACCTCATTTGTGGATAGTGAGACCATCAAAAACAGTGTCATAATAGACACTAAATTTTATGGCCATTTTTTATATTTTAGCTATTCATGATTGGCATTTTAATGCAGGCTTCTGGAGAAAGGGAAGCATTTTGATAATGGACAAAGTGATAAAATTTTAAAGCAAAGTAAAAAGTATCCTTTGCCTGTTCTATCTGCTTGTCACTTTGCTCTGGTCCCTCAGTAGAAGAGATGGAAATGGGTGGATGTAAGACACACCTGGGCTTCCTGGGTGGCTCATTATCCACCTGCCAATGCAGGAGACATAAGAGAGGGTTCTAGCCCTGGGTCAGGAAGATCCCCTGAGAGAGGATTACTTCAGTAATCTTGCCTGCAGAATCCCATGGACAAGGGGTCTGGTGGGCTACAGTCTATGGAGTCGCAAAGAGTCAAACTGAGCATTCAAAGACAAGCCTGAATGTTTTCTCATTTCCATGCCATGTGGGGCATGTGGGAAAAGCACTGGCTCTGGGGTCAGGAGTTTAACTCTTTAAACATCTATTAAATATTGTTTGTTCGAGTCTCCATGCGAGGCAGACACAAGTAATTCGGCAGTTTGGTTCTTAACCTTAAGAAGTTTGCTGTCTCTGGACAGAAAGGGTTGTAAACAAGTGGTCACCATGCAGTGTTCACACCATGTGTGAAATGCCACAGTAATCATGTTTCTAAACTGCAGCAGAAGCAAAGAGGAGGTCCTCTTTGATATTTATTAGCTGTGTTAACTTCTTGAGCCTCAGTTTCATCAGCAGTCACTCTAGAGACAATATTTAAAAACTGATGCCAATTCTATAAAGTCCATTTCCTTGACAACATTCCACCTGCGACTGGTTTGTTCAGAATCACGTTATACCTGCCCAGCATCATACTGCCCTAAGGAATCTCCTTACCCCTATATTCACATTCCCAAGCCCATCCTTCTCAGAGTAATTTTTCTAAAAAGCAAATCTGACAATGATGTTCCACCTACCAAAATCTTTTCCCAGAGATTAAAGTCCAAATTCTGTAACATAGCATCCAAGACTTCCTCCACCTTCCCCCTCCTACCATGCCCGGCAGCCTCCTCAACCACTGTCTCTGTTGTTTAAAGTGCTCATAGGGACTTCCCTGGTGACTCAGTGGTAAATACTCTGCCTTGCAATGCAGGGGACACAAGTTCAATCCTTGGTCCTGGAAGATTCCACATGCCGCAGAGCAACTAAGGCAATGAGCCGCAACTGCCGAGCCTGCGGGTCACAATTAGAAAGATTCCACAGGAGACAATGAAGATCCTGCATGCTACAACTAAGGCCCAGTGACACAGCTAAGTAAATAAAGTGCTTGCATGCGTCTGACTCTTTTATAACCCCATGGACTGTAGCCCGCCAACCACCTCTGTTTATGGAATTCTCCAAGCAGGAATACTGGAGTGAGTTGCCATCCTACTCCAGGGGATCTTCCTGATCCAGGGATCGAACCCGTGTCTTCTGCATTGGCAGGCAGATTCTTTACCACTGGCCACCTGGGAAGCCCCAAATAAAGTGCTTATGGATCTCAAAAACACCCAGGCTCTTTCAGCCTTTGTTTGTGTCACTTCCCCTCCACCCACTATGCCAAGAGAATAAAGACCCTTCCTCCTTTGTATCTCTCTGTATATACTCTGCACAGAATTCTACCATGTCACTTACAGCACTTTAAATTATCTGCTTTCAATTCTATTTCTACCTTTTGGTCTTTTAAGCATCTAAACACTAGAGACAATGTCATGTACAGAGTAAGTACTAAATATATGTTTGATGGATTCATTAATTCAGTAAATCATGAGAATCCAGTAAAATTAAGGCAGCAGATCTAATATATTCAAATAACAGATTACAAGTCGAGTTAAACCTCTTCTCTTTAACTTTTGTTGACTTAGTGGACTGTAAGCTCCTCATAGGAAAGAGTTAAGTCTAACATTCATCCTGCACCCCTAGGCAGTAACTCTGCAAGCAGCAATTGCTTATTAGCCAACAACAGAGTCGCTTTCTTGGAAATGTCTTCAAGGAATTGAGCATGCCTGCAAAAAACAGGTCTTAAGCTCACATAACCTACTACCCAAATAAAAGCAAATGAAAAATAGTACTGATGAACCTATTTGCAGGGAAGGAACAGAGATACAGGTGTAGAGAGCGGACTTGTGGACGCAGTGGGGGAAGGAGAGGGTGCGATGAATTGAGAAAATAGCATTGACACATATACACGATCATGTGTGAAATAGCTAGCTAGCGGGAAGCTCCTCAGCCCAGCCTGGTGCCCTGTGAGGACCTAGGAAGGTGGGATGGCAGAGACGAGGAAGGCTGAAGAGGGAGGGGAGACATATATACAATTATGACTGATTCATAAACCAGCAGAAACCAACACAACATTGTAAAGCAATTATCCTCCTGTCAAAAACTAAATTTAAAATAAAAGTAAACAGAAATGGCATTGATAAGCTGGGCAGGGGTGATAGGTCGGAAAATTCGAGAGAAGGGTCTTCTACAACCAAGTTACTTCTCTGCCTCACATGCTCCATCTGTGAGCCATGGAGAGCAAGCAATCTTCTGGCAGAGAGCAGTGATGAGGAAAACTTAACCAAAACTATTGTGCAGTACTCAGAAGCATGAAGCACTCAATATACTCCCACTAGGAACCAGGAAACATAACCTTGACAATTAATGAACAAAGTTCTTCTGAATGAACATAAATGATGCTGACACATACATGCAAGGAAATAAACAAAGGAGAGTCATCTGGGGGTTTCAGTTCCAAAAAAAGGAAATTAAAATAAACAGTGAAAATGGAAACAGGCCAAATTAGTAGGGAAGGAAATTCCATTGTTGTTATTGGAGATAATACTGTAAACAACAAATAATAAATCAGAACAAAGTGGAAAAACTACAGCAGATGGTTTTGGGGCTGTACCATTTGTATATTATGGAAAAGTACCTGGATAAACTAGACAGACTGCAGAACCTCAGGGGGAACAAAGGAACATCTGAAAATGTAACAGAACCCAGTGACCCCATGGCTGTTACCTGACTGTCTGCCCACAGCTGCTGTCTCATCCCCACAGTGTAGGTGTAAGTTGGCACATTTTCCGTATTGGAGACTGACCCGACTATTGCATACTGACTTCCTACAGACTGCCCCTTACCCTGTTTGGGAAGAAGTTGCAATTCTGAGTTTTAAACCATCCCAAGGAACTTGGGTACTGAGGATGGGTGCAGAGAGGCAGCCAGCTCTTACGAGGCTCTTCAAGCATTCTGAGATCCGCCACCCTCTCTGAGACGTGAGGCCTTTCCACTATGCTCAGTATATTTCCTCGCTCATATGCACAAAACGACCCTATGAATAACATAGATTGTTCTTTCATTGCCTCCTAGTCACGTTGCTAGGTATTTTTCACATTACAGTATGTCCCCTGAATACAAAGCTTTAAGTTGTGAACTTGCAAAGATGCAAACTTGCACTCACATGTCCAATCACATAAGCTAGTTCACGCATCTGGGGTACATTGTCATGTGCGTACATCCTCTACAAGTGGCTGTGTTTTTCTGTACTTTGCTGTACAAAGTACTGTACTTTATAGAGTGCAGTGATACAGTAACTTTATTTCAAGTCCAAAATGTCTGGAAGCAAGTGTAAAAGCTGTGGTGATGTAGCTGGTACTGTACTGTACGTTTCAAGGTACCATACTGCAAGATTAAAAATGTTTTTCTTTATTTTTTGTGCTTGCTTTTTATATATTATTTGTGTGAAAAGTATTATAAACCTATTACAGTACAATACTATATAGCTGATGTGTTAGATGTGTTACTTGGTTACCTAGGCTAACTTTGTTGGACTTACGAACAAATTGGACTTAATGAACACATTCTCGGAACAGAACTCATTCATATGTTGGGGACTTATTGTATCTCAAATCCACACAAAAATGCCTCAGGGTAAACATCACCATTTCACAGCAGTGAAACATATGACTCAGAGAGATTAAGTCACTGCTAGAAAGTTGTACAGTTCCCAAGTTCACACACTCTCTCCTAGGTCAGTTCAGAAGGGCTTCAACCCCTGGCCCCTTCCTTTCACTGGTGGAATGAGACCTCCCTCTCACTCCCCTTCCCCACGGACTAGAGTTGAAGTGTCACTGTCTTAGGTACCTGGAATAACCGTGTTCCTTGAGAGGTGATCACATCTGATGAATCATGGGTAACAGTGGAATAGATAGAGGGAGGGGAAATATCATGAAAAAATAGACCGTGACATTCCCTTTTTATTCCCAACTTAACTTCTGACCAGGGCAGGCTTTATAGGCATGACCTATACAGTCACACACGGCCTTTACTCAGAACAACTAAGCCTGGGTGAATGCTCTACTGTTGCTCAGTTGCTAAGCTGTGTCCAACTCTTTGCAGCCCCGTGGACTGCAACACACCAGGCTTCCCAGTCCTTCACTACCTCCCAGAGTTTTCTCAAACTCACGTCCATTGATGTTATCTAACCATCTCATCCTCTGCTGCCTCCTTCTCCTCAATTTTTCCTAGCATCAGGGTATTTTCCAGTAAGTCGGCTCTTCACATCAGGTGGCCAAAGTGTTAGAGCTTCAGCTTCAGAATCAGTCCTTCTGATGAACATTCAGGATTGATTTCCTTTACGATTGACTAGTTTGATCTCCATGCAGTCCAAGAGACTCTCAAGAATCTTCTCCAGCACCACAGTTGGAAAGCATCAATTGCCTTCCCAGATGGCACTAGTGGTAAAGAGTCTGCCTGCCAATGCAGGAGACGCAAGAGACATGGGTTCAGTCCCTGGGTTGAGAAGATCCTTTGGAATAGGAAATGGCAACCCA